TTCTTTCTTTCTTTCTTTCTTTCTTTCTTTCTTTCTTTCTTTCTTTCCTTCTTTCTTCTCTCCTTTCTCTTTCTCTCTCCTTTCTTCCTTCCTTTCTTTCCTTCTTTCTTTCTTTTCCCCTCCCCTCCCTTTCCCTCCTCTCCCTTCCCTTCCCCTCCCCTCCCTTCCCTTCCCCTCTCCTTCCTTCCCCTCCCCTCTCCCTTCCCCTTCCCTCTCCTCCCCTTGCCTCCTCTCCCCTCCCCTGCTCTTCCTTTCCTTCTTTCTTGACAGGCTCTTGTTAAGAGACAAGTCACCCAAGCTGGAGTGCAAGATCATGGTTCACTGCAGCCTCACTCCCTCTGCTGACCATACCTCCCCCGCCGGCCCCTCCTCTGGCTGTGCCTTCCTCCCCAGCTGGAACCCTCCTCCCCTACAAGCCTGCCTCTGGCTGCTGATCCCTCCCCTGCTGGGCCCCACCGCCTCTCCTCCCAGATGGACCCCTCCTTCACTTCCCCTCCCACTGGCCCCCTTATCCTTGTGGCCCTCAGCCTGGACCTGTCACCATGGAGTGCCCATCTGCTGTGCATCCATCTGCCATGGTGGTGGGAAGAGACCTTTCCTGCTCTCCATTTGAGCATATGAGTTATACCCATCCCCCCTCTTTTCATGAACATATACAAACACACATGCTTATGCATAAACACATATTTATACACACACATAAACACACACAGACCCGTACGTGCACGTACCCACACAAAACACTCCCAAATGCATACAATCACACTCATTCTCCCCCCAACATGCATGCACATAATCACACAGAAACACACACTTGTAAACCAGTGCATACTCACACATCCATACCCACTTGCATGCATGCATCTACACACTCACATGCACACTCACACTCATACCTACACACTAGCTCACACACTCACACAATGCACTCACAAATACACGCATGCTCACCCACTTACATAGATTCACACACTCACAAACCAATGAACACCTGCACACTGATGCATACCCACAAACCAAGGCACACTCACACATTCTCAGGCTCACCTACACTCACTTCACTGTTACTAGTATGTGGGTCTTTTGAGTAGATGTTCTATCCTGGTCTCTGAGGGAAGGCAGCCTGTGCTGTTTGTCTCAGCGGCACCACCACAGAGACCTGGGCTGAAGCCCAGTTCCCGCACCTCCAGCTCCGTGACCTTGGCAACCTCAGAATCTGGCCTGCGGAGGGAAGCCAGGCTGCCAGCCTTACCTGCATCAAGGAGGTGTAGTGAAGGCTGGTGGGAGGGCAGGCATGTCCACATGGGACTTGGGAGCTGTGAAGGGAGAGACCTGGCTAGTACTCTAAAGCCTTCCTTAGGGAAGGGACTGGGGCTGCCTGCCACTCAGCTGTGCCCCTCTCCAGTGCAGGCAAGGGCTGGCACCTGGGGCATGGGGGGTGCAGCCTCCACCGCCCAGCCCAGTCTTCATGTTCTTCCTCCCAGTGCTTCTCCTCTGTCTCCTTTAACCCTTCAGCTCCCGCGCCCTCTTTAGGCTGATCTGGGCTCCTTACTCAGTGGAGCCTGGTGTCTTCTGCATTATTTTGCTAAGGGGGTCCCATTTGTTTTTTTCTTTCTGCCATGCAGAGATGCCAGTCTCAGGAAGGAGGTATGAGGTGTGCAGGAGTCCCTGGGGTCAGGGCTAGGAGAATAGAGCACACCGCAGCAGCCCAGCTCTGGCTTTGTGCTGAAGGCAGCACAGACCCTGAAACAATCCCATCTCCCTGGATTAAAGGGATGGCAGGAACTGCTTTGATCTCCAGGCTTTAGTGTTCACTGTGCCTTCAGTCTGGGCTGGGAAGAAAGCCTGGAGCTGAGAAGAGCTGTCTGCTTCCCAGAGCTTGGGTGTGACTTTGTAGAGCCTGAACACAGCTCTCTGGGTGGGGCCTCTGTGTGGGCGTGTGCCTGTGCATACATGTGTATGTGGGTATGTGCCACTGTGTGTACACATCATGTGTGGATGTGCATGTGTGTGTGTTGGGGCATGCCCACGCACATGTGTGCACATGTGTCTTCTTGCATGTAGATGTGTTTTCATGCATGTGTGCTTGTGTGTGCATACAAGTGTAAGAGCATTGGTAACATTCAGAGGAACCTGGGAGCAGGTGGACAGGACGCTGCCAGCAGTGTGATGGGGTCCCCAGCAGTGCTGGAAGCCCTACACTCCAGCCTCTGAGCCCTGCAGAAGGGAAAGTCCATGCTGGTAGCACATTCTGAATCTGAGCACAACTTTTTGTTTTGATTCTAAAAATACAGAGCAGCTCTTTTATCAGAGTACAGTGTTTCCTTGTTGCCTTCTCCGAAGTAGACTCTTCTCTGAAGTAGACTCTTCAGTGTTCGGGAAGTGGCTCAGCCTGAGAAAATGCAAATGCATGGTGCTTGGCTGGCCTGGCTCCCCAGTGCTTGGCCACCTGAGTGTTCTTTTCTTCCCACCCCCGCCTTTTTTTTTCAGACAAGGTCTCTCTCTGTAGCCGAGGCTGGAGTGCAGTGGCATTATCATGGTTCACTGCAGCCTTGAACTCCTGGGCTCAAGTGATCCCAGCCTCCAGAGTAGGTGGAGCTACAGGAGAGCACCATCATGCCTGGCTAATTGTTTCCCAGGCTGGTCTTGAATTCCTGTGCTCAGGCGGTCTCCTGCCTTGGCCTCCCAGAGTGCTAGGATTACAGGTGTGAACCACCATGCTGGTTCCTGAGTGCCCTTTTCTTACTGACCTGGTTCACTTGATTGCTGTCCTGCTGCATGTGGCACACCCTGGCTCTGGTGGCCCTGACTTCCTGGGAGCACAGATGCTTCTGATGGATGGGGCATTGTTATTTACGTAGCAACTGGCATTGGGCCCAAGGCACCTCATGTCCGAGTGTGGGGATGTCAGACACCCACTGTGGACAAAGAAGATGGCTATCTCACAGAGCCCCCCGCTGTCCCCTGCTGTCTGTCTCTAACTGTGGTCCTCTGGCTGGCTCTTGCCCACTAGCCCTAAGGACTCACTTGACCTCTTGTCCCTGGATATGGTCCTTCTAGTGGCCTTTTCTGGCAACTGAGCTCAGTGCTTTCTCAGGAAACCTGTTTAATACTGTATTCATTGGAGGGTGCCACCTGTGCCCTTCACCTACCACACAGTCTGGAGCCAGGTCTAGAGGTCCCAGCCTGTGACCGGCATCCACCCTTTCCACATAAAGCATCACCTGCCTACGGTCTGGGAGGGCTCCTCTCCCAGCCTGCGGGGGACCTGTGGATTTTCTCAGCTCTACTGTCCAGCCTCTGGAAGCAGCATTATCATAGCAAGCATGCAGCTGAGAAGGGCGAGTGTGCTTAGGAGGATGGTGGAAAGTTCAGGAGATGCCAGGCAGTTGCAGGTGTGAGCTAGGAGTCAGGGCAGCTTGCTCTGGAACATTCTGTTCCCCAGGGAGCATGTGGCAGTGAGTGTCCTGGTTGGTCGTGTGCGCCGCCAGTGCAGTGAGCCTGTGCTGGAGCCATGCTCCGTGGCGATGCTGCGGGAAATCAGGAGTGCCTTTGCCTTCATTGCACTAACGCATTGCCTTTCTGAAACAACCGTGGCCTCAAAAAGGGATCTTAAATACTTGTTTGTTGAACTTGTTTTCTCAAAACCTACCTGCCCTGCAGCATCAATGATTAACTGAGGGAACAGATTTTAGGAAACATTGGCTTAGCCGGAAGATTTTGAAATATCTCTGATAGTTGATTTTAAAATCTGTACTTGCAGACATCACAATGTTTCCTGAGCACTGGTCATGTCCTGGTGCTGGGTGGGGTCTCGTCACTGGCAGGGTCCCGTTCTATGGTCACATCTTTAATGCCAAGTGCCTTGGCTTGAATTTGTTCAAGGGTCAGAAATGGGCAGTGCCTGAGAGCTCAGCTGACGGTGTGGCTCCTTGTGGCTGGTGTCACAGGTGTCATGGGTGGGGGTGGACAAGCTGGAAGTGGGGCTGTTCTGAGGTTCTGGTGTGCTTGAGCCCGAGTCACCCTCCCTGGGAGGCTCAGATGGTCACTGTGTCATTCTTTGATCCTCTGGGCAGGGATGTGGTGAGATACATGGGGAGTGGACTGTCTTTGATGGGAGCTGTCCCCAGGGTGCTCTACCGCCTGGGGGCTTGCATCTGTCTTCCTGACTTTCCTGCCCTGTGTTCCTCGCTTTCCTGCTGGTGTCTTCATGTCAGATTCTACCAGTGCTTTTTCCTTTCTCCCACCTAAGGTGACCTTGCGGCTGTGCATGACCTGGGGGGAGAGGCTGGGCTGGCTTGGAGAGCGGCACCATGGAGGAACAGGTTGCATGCGGCCCTAATGCCCCCCCTGGAACTGAGGTGCCAGTGGTTACACAGGAAGCACCAAAGACGCCTGCTTCTCTAGGTTCCCTTGAGAATCCTTTCTGAGGTCTGGTGAACATAGCTTCATGCATTAGAAACCTCATGACGGGAGCTCAGGGAGAGCCTGTCAAACTCTTTTAAAAATAACTTGTGTTATATTATTTTTATTATGGAAAATTCAGATAGACACAGAAGTAGAGAGACCAGCACAGTGATTCTTTGAGTACCCATCACGGGCTCCAACAGTTACCTGAATTCTGCCGACCCTCTTTCAAACGACGCTAATTCTAAAATGCTTTTATTAATTCAAACACCAGAAGCTAACAAGCAATTACGTTAATTAAAAAACCCGCTTGTGTGTGACACTGAAGAAGCAGAAATGGTTTAAAGAGAATGACGTCACACCAGCACCCAGCTCCTGGTGAGTACCCCGGAGGGGCTGGATGGTGTCCGCCGAGGGCTCAGTCAGGAGGGACCATCCCACCATCCAGACACCTGGGACATGGCAGGCTGATCGCAGTCTGGGAGTTTACCAATGAGAACATGCCCAGTGCTGTGCAGGGAGCAGTTGTGTGGGGTCAGCTCCTTCGCTGGCCTGTGGCCCAAGTGCTGTTGGTTCATGTGAGAAAGTACTCCCTCCAGCAGGATCCCGCTCCTTGCCACTGCGGCCTGTGCTCAGGAGAGGCTGGTTTGGAGGACTGCCTGCAGCCATTCTTTTGTCCTCTTGGGTAGTCTGAATGCCACCCTGGCTGAATGACTGTGCTGGGGCAGCCCTGATGATGGCAGGTTGAAAATGGGAGCAGATTCAATGGAGAGGTTTTCATACCCAATGAGAGTGATCCCAGGTTGAGAAGGGACCACTCAGACCAGTCCAGAGATCAGGAGGCTGCCCAGTGAAAGGAGGGAAAACGCTCTTGGCCAAGGCTGCAGTGAGGTTTGTGGGTCTGAGCGCATGTTCTACCCAGAGGTGTGGCATGGCCAGGGGATGTGCTTGGCATGGCAGACAAGTCAGGGGTGAGTCCAGGGCTCAGTGGGTCTCTAATGTGCTGGGAAGGTGGGGCTCCACCCAGAGTCTGGGATGAAGGGAGGGCCTGCCTCACGCAGACTTTGACAGCAGCCTGATTGCAGGTTGTGCCAGGCAGTGGAGTTGGAGAGAAGTCATTGGCATAGGGTTGTCAGGGGCGGTACCTGATGAAGGTTTGAGAAGGACAGAAGAGAGAGGGTCAGGGGACTTGCGAGTTTGGCTTGGGCAGAGGCCCCTGTCCCTGGAGGGGAGGAAGGACAGGTACCTGGGGGTGTGGGATGATGATGTCAGATTGGGATACTCTCTCCAAGGACTATGAGACATCTTGGGTTGGGGGAAGGACCCAGGGCTCCTGCAGGGTGCTAGTCTAGTGACCACGCATGGTGTCAGCCCAGTGACCATGAGGGGTGCTAGTCCAGGGACCCCCAGTGTGTGATGATTTTCTCATGGTTAGACTGGGGTGTTGGTTTTTGACAGGAGGCCTCGGAGGACATGCCCTCATCCCATTATGTCAGGCACATCTGTCAACAGGACTCATCATGGCCGGTGTGGCAGTTACCAGTTGGCTAAGGTGGTATTGGGAGATTTCTCTGCCATAAGGTTTTCTCTTTTCTCTTCTTTTTCCATTTTGTGCTTTTTCCGAAGTCACTGTGCTGAGCCGATACTGAAGGAGTGAGGAGTTTACTTTCTTG